GGTACTTGTATGCGCCCTATAATCCAGTGCACCTTATGTGTGTGTTAAAAACAGTAATGGCACACATAACTGAGACTGCGCCTTTTAGTACAGTGCGTCTTATGGTCGTGAAAATACGGTATCCCAGTATTAAAAGGTTCACTTTGTATTTGCAAAAATAATAATGATAATATATAAGATAATTTATATAATAATAACGTATCAATATTTAGTGTCCCTGTATCGATAAAGTATTGCCTTACTCCTTTTAGAGATGCACTTATGTGTTGACTCATGTACCTATTTAGCTAGGTTGGTATGATACCTGGGATGAGCTTCCATGCTGTGTAGACGCAGGTAATCAGCTGGTAGCTCAATGGTGGCGTTCTCTGCCCTGTGTTAGTTAGTCTGGGTGAGTACCTGCTGTTATGAGCACATTTATTTGTGCTGTTAGCATCTTCAGATAGTAGGTGTGGATCACCTCAGGTCCATAATGTTGACTGCCTCTTTTTCTGGGAGGTTGCCGTGGTCTGCTGTCAGGTCCACAACTCACTTAACGCTCGTGGTATACAACATCTCTTTCTCCCAGATGTTCTTCCAGTATTGTTCAGTTTTAGCTCTGGGTGCCCTCTTATTATTGTTCCCTTGTAGCTGAGAGTACACCTTGGACTGATGTTTGGAGAAGAGGCAATTTATTCTCTTGGCCTCTGCTTGTCTCTTCAGCCTAGTGCCGAGAGGTGTGAGCTTTTGTTTCTAGAACCTTAGTTATTTGCACCTTGTTGTATATCTTATTCATCCAGGACCTGTCGTTCAGTACTTCTGTTAGCTGACTAACCCCCTCTGGGCTTCCCTGATTTTTGGCTTCCAACCTTCTTCTCCACAGGGGACTTTCTCTGCATGTGTTCTTGATCTCATACCCAAGTGTTTCTATTATTTCTGTGGCAGTGGGATATATGAGCTCATTTTTTTTTAGTAACACTGGTAGTGGGAATGGTGAGCCGAGCTTTCTTGTCATCTGCAAGCATCACCTATGATGAGACTTGTTAGTGAGGGAGTCATCAAGCGAGTAATGAATCCAAATGTAAGAAAAAAAAAAGGTTTGGCTCAAGTTCTTATCAGTGTTTACCGAGTAGATCAGGAAAACGAAAAGAACATCTAAGAAGTGTCTTAGCAGAGCTTTATTTTTCAGCATTAGTGAAGCAGTGTAGGAACTGCTTGACAATGAACAACACAAAAAGACAGACAACATCCAAAGAAAAGCTTGAAGTGTCCTTCAAGAAAAACTATTCCTGAAGACTACGAAATGATGCGAACGCTTGACTAACAGAGTTGAGAATAAAGGTGTTTATCACAAATATTGATTTTTAAGCTGTTAGAGTAAGACAGGCTCATTTTTTCCATGTATACACTATTTCTGTATTTTTTCCATGTTTCAGTAAATCACTACAGCTATGACCTCATCGCTATCTTTTAAAAATGGTCTCTTATAAAACTGCAGAGAACATTTGATGCAAAATTGACTCTAATTACATATGTGTAGTATTCCCACATTTAAAATCTAATTCTGTTAGAGGTAATCCAATGGTTTTACTGCATTGTACTATGTCATCACATTACTAACCTTTTTCTTGTGTACATTTGTTCCCAAAGACCTCCCACAACAACATGACCAGCAAGAGGGACTCAGATCAACAGAAGACCTCCAACAACGTGATGATTAAGGAGGACCCAGATCAGCAGGAAACCTCTGATAACAACATGATGTTAAAGGAGGACCCAGACCTGCAAGTTTGTAACCAGGAGAGGAACTCCAGTCTGGAGAAGGAGAACCCAGAGCCTACACAGATTAAAGATGAACAGGAGGAACTCTGCATCACTGAGGAGGGAGAGCAGCTTGTAGTGAAGGAGGAGGTTGATGGTATCATCGTTTGGACTGGTAAAGAACGGCTCAGTCTTCTGGATAAAATCTGGAAACCAAAAGAAAACTTGGGTATGTACAACTAAAAAGTTCTTAATGAGATGACACAGGAATATGAATCTTAATAACTTTGACCTTAATCAGAGCTCAAAGTTTCTTATTTGTTTACAGGCACAGGAAAATTTTAAGGGAAAACTGCAATGAGTAGAGCAGGAGTGGGGGAACTCCAGGCCTCAAGGGCCAGTGTTCTGTACCTGACAAACCATCCTACCCGTTGTTTCTGCGCATGCGCACAACACAAAATTAAGTGGCGAACCGTCCTACCTTTTTGAATATTAGCTAGAAACATACTCTGACTGGTAAAATTAAGTGACAAACCATGCTACCTTTGTGAATGTTACCTACAAGTAGGGCTGAACGATTATGGAAAATAATCTAATTGCGATTTTTTGCCCCAATATTGCGATTGCGATGCGATATGCGATTATTTTTTAAGGTCTTTGTCTTCTGTATTATTAAACAAAGACAAGCAATACATCATATAGTATGGCCAATACTATATTACATTAATTTTAAACTGTTCTTTCCTGGAAGACAGACCTCTGTTATGATGACATGAGGTGATGCATGAATTGATGACTGACATTTTTATTTAACTTCTTCAATCACAACAGTATATTTGAACATACACAATAGTTTATTTTTAGCTTACAAACATCTGAGCATAAAGTGCTGACAAGGAACCCTGGTGTAAACATTAAAATGAAAGTCAGTACAATGTGCAGATTGCAGAAATATACATAAAAAAAATCAGTGGCTTTACCACACTCAGTTTTTCGACATCTGTGAACTACTAGACAGTCATTCAATTAAAAAATAATATTAAATAAATAAAACTAATAAATAAAAAATACACACATCTTACTGATCTCTGCAGTCAGTAACATTACACATAAAGTGCAAACATAATAGCAATTGTATAAACACACACACAAACACGCCTTTAAAATTTAAAGGCGTGAAATTGGACGGTCTAGTTCTGATTAGCGTCACCGCTGTCTCGGTGGAGTTTAATAAACTCGGCTGTCTGCTTCTTGCTATCTAAAATATAACCAGACACTGGTGTAAATTCTCGACTGTCTCATACTTCTGTTTAATAAGTTTTCTGTTTGACGTTTAGTCAGCTGTGTGAAAACCAAGGAGGAACCCACCCGGGGGATTAATAAAGTTTTATTTTATCTAATCTAATAACTTTAATCTCAGCCAAACCGATTTACTCACGAACAAACAAAACACTGAAAAAAGCCCAACGATAACATTTTTAGGTTGTCTAAGTGACTTATATATTACGTTTAACCCGAGCAGCGAAACTCCGCGGTGATCTGAAAATGATGTGCCGGGAGTTGTGCCGTTCTCGGCCGCATCAGTAACCCTCGAGCTCTCGGTTAGCTGTCGAGCTAGCCGGAGGGTAGCAGACGCCTCTGAAAACGTTGAAGCACTTTTTCAAATATGGGATATCTTGATAAACCGAGCAGATATTTGATGTTTACACAACTACTTTCTCGCCTGAAAATATGTTAAAAGTTTATTTTGTGACCCAGAAAGATTAGTATGAGTAATTTTAAAACTTAGTAGCGGCCGCCATTGCTGGAAACTGGAGTTTGGCTGGGCCGCGCTATGAATTCTGGGATATGGTAGTAATTTGGACAGCCTTCGGCGCGTCGCTGTGACGTAATCGGTCTACAAATGCGGCCTCAGGAGGATGCAGCCCATGAATTTGGACATGTCCAGAGTATAATCGCAGCCTTTGCGGTTAGAAAATTGCACTTGATCATGTCGCGATATTATCGCAAATGCGATATATCGTTCAGCCCTACCTACAAGCATACTTTAACAGGTAAAATGAAGTGACAAACCATCCTGGCTTTATGAACATGAGCTACAAGCATACTCTGATGGGCAAAGTTAAGTGGCAAACAGTCATACCTACTTAAATTTGTGCTGGAATTACTCTGTGACAGCAGAAATGTGCATAAACTACTTATGGTAGGATGTTTTGCCAAAGTAGGATGGTTTGGCAGAACACCAGTATCCTGCAGGTTTTAGATGTCAATCTGGGTCAACACACCTGAATCAAATGATTAGTGCATTCACAGGCCTCTGGAAAACCTCAAGACATGTTGAGGATGCAATTTAGTCATTTAAATCAGCTGTGTTGGATCAAGGACACATCTAAAACCTGCAGGACACTGGCCCTTGAGTTCCCCCACCCCTGGAGTAAAGTTTAGATTTTACTACAGCATTTTATCCAGTCTGAGTACAGTACTTTGGTTATTTAATTTGAATAATTTCAATGGCTTATTTTTATCGATCTGATGTCTGGGCATTTTTCTCAGAAAATCTGAAAACCATCTAAGATGAGGTGATGTTGCTAGTCCTTCTAAAACCATCTTGGGAACTGAGAGGAGTTGGACTCGGTGCAACTGTGGTGACAGCTTGGTTTCATGTTTACTCCTGGTGGGAGTTGAACTGACAGGGTTTCCCTTTGTCACCAGTTCTCGTCATAATTTTTAGTGACAGAATTTCTAGCATTGCAAAGTGGCATAGGATTTCTGCCTTGGTAGCCTCAGAATCTCCTCTCTGCTCTTCACAGTTGATGTGACTATTTTTGGTTTTATCATCCAACTTGCATTTGTAGCCAAGTGTGAAGTGTTTGGAAAGATAACTAGCACCTTCAAAATGAGGTCATGGTTCTCAGCCAGAAAGGGGTGAATGTCCATTTTGCGTCGGGGATGAGTTGCGCCTTCAAGTGGAAGAAGTTAGATATCTCAAATGTTCAGAAAGTGAGGCAGAGTGGAGCGGGAGACTTGAAGGGGAACCCATACTGCTTTTGCTGTGCATGTTATATCTGTTGTGAGGAGGTGATGGGAAATGTAAATGAGCATCTTCTGAAGGGTATATGGGCTCTATGTTAGAGAAATTAGGAGTTTGGCCAGAAGTGCCTTTCCACCTCTGTATTGAAAGGAGCAACTTTAAAGTCCTCAGGCTTTTAAAACCCTTTAATCCCTAACCTGTCGCTGGTGACAGGTTTTTTTCAACCTACCGTAACTTTTGAGCTGTTCACACAATTGAAAAAATGGCAACAGTTTCTGAAAGCAGAGGGTCTGCACTTTCTATTGAAATTAGGTTCATTATCCCAGGCACAGGGTGAACGCAACCCTGTGAAAACGAAGGTTGGTTGACAGAAAAGAGGGTCAGCAAGTATAACAGAAACTTTTTTCTTTCCTTTTCTTTTTTTTTGCTGGGGTGGGGTGGATTTCATTCATTCATTCATGTTGAGGACTTCAGCAGGGATTCGTACCATTTGTGGCCAAAGTCGAGGCCGGTGCCATGTACATCAGAAAAGCCGTGGAGCTGGTGGTGATGCCTCTCGCAGCCGGTCGCCACATCGTCCAGTGGCTTGGAGAACAGAGGCAGACCCAGATGATGCTGTCCCTCAACCACCAAAATTCAGACCAAAGAGAACCCCTGGTATTCAACCTCCTCTCAATGCTGCACAATCCCCAGGTGATATCTTCTCCAAATTTTTTGATGACGAAGTACTAAAATGCTTGTGTGAAAACACAAACAAGAATGCGACAAAAAAAAGGAAAAGGGCAAAACGTTTGCATGGAAGGAAATTACACCAGAAGAACTACAAAAGTACCTGGGTTTGTTACTTTACATGGCAGTCTGCAATTTTCCAAAAATGGTAGACATTTGGAGGAGTAACACAATTTTTCATGTTCCTTTTCCTGCCACTGTTATGTCCAAAGACCGATTTATGGCCATCAATTCTAACCTTCATATCAGTGATCCAGAAGAAGATGTGGCCTATGGCAAGAAAAAGGGCACAGAGGACTATGACACATTTCACCAGGTCAGACCTCTCCTTGAGATGTTGAGAAGTCGTTGCATGAGTAACTACCACCCAAAGCAGCACATTTCAGTTGAAGAGAGGATGGTTGCCTAGCCCACCAAGTGGGGGCTAAAAAATTTTGTTCTTGCTGATGTAAATGGCTACATCATAGACTTCAAGCCATACACAGGGAAATCAAAGTTGTCATCAGAGAAAGGACTCTCTTTTGATGTGGTTACATCACTAGTGGACAAAGACTCTCTGGGATCAGGTTAATATTGTCTACTGTGATAACTTCTACACCAGCCCAGGCCTCTTCCAACACTTGAAAAAGCATGGATTTGGGGCTTGTGGTACATACAGGGAGGGCAGACTGGGTGTTCCATCCTCTCAGGAAAATGCTCTCCATAAAAGATCACCAAGAGGCTCCATTCGGTGGATTAGGGATGGTGACCTTTTATTTGTAAAGTGGGTGGACAGTTGAGAAGTCGCCATCTGTACCACCGTCCACCCTGTGTACAGTGTACAGTGTCAGAAAAATGAAGATGGACATTTTGAGAGCGTTTCTGTCCCCAGACCGACAGCTGTGACCGAATACAATAAATACATGGGAGGAGTGGACACATCAGACCAGATGCTAGGAACAAATTCAGTCCTTTGCAAAACCAAAAGATTGAACATGATAGTTTTCCAGCATCTACTGGACATTGCAGTTACCAACAGTTTCATTCTTCACAAAGAGTTGTGCATCAGCAAGCAACAGAAACACAAGACACGGCAGGCCTTCCAGGAGGAGCTCGCTGCACACCTCCTAGGTGTTTGCTTGGATGGCAAGCCTGAGTTCCCAAGTCAAGGACACTTTCCTGTCCCTACGAGCACTAGAGATATGGGAAAGAGGCACAGGGCAACCTTGGGAAGGAAGCAGTGCACTGTCTGTAAGAGGAGCACTCCTTGGAAATGCCAGCAGTGCAATGTAGGCCTTTGCCTGCAGCTTGAAAGGAACTGCTTTTTGGAGTTCCACCAGAGGCCAAAAATGTCTGGACTTGCTTAGAAAACAAATTAGAGACCCCCAGAAACAAACAAACGAAAGTTCACATATTTGTTGTCTGTTTTATAGTTCAAATTGCAAATTGCAAATCTTTTTTTTTCATGTACATTCTGAGTACCTTATTCAGTAAAAATCTGTAAAATTTCATGTTCCTGTTTTGTGTTTTCCTGTTATTATTCTCGTTATTACACAGTTATAGCAAACAGTAAAGAAAAACAACTACCAGATGTTGAAGGAAGTAGTAGTCCTAAAAAAGGGACAAACCACATACTCGCAGCAGATTTTATAACACCTCCACAGCTGAAACAACAAAATAATTCCAGGCAGCCTGTTTAACATTATACAGTTTAAAGGATGCCTCCACGACACCTTCTAGGCAGTGAGTTTTGGACATATCCTACTTGGGAGGAGTCCCTGGAGTAGACCCAGGACACTGTTGCTTAGGAACGCCAACAGTGGTCCCCTGAAAAAGTTGAGGTTTCTATCCAAATAAAAGCAGAAAGTGGAGTTCAAATAATTAGTTTATGTTGTTTCCATCCCTTAAAAATTAAAAATTGGGACTTATTATTGCCCACACATTAATTTTTTTTAAAAAAGGCTGTAAAAATTTCCACATTGTACTGTGGAAAAATATCAAAAAAGAAGTGCTACTCCTGCTTGATGCATTAAAACGTATAGCAACTTTGTACAATTTATTGTAAATAAATGAATAAATATTAGGGGTGGGACTCGATTAAAAAGATTAATCTAGTTAATTAGAGGCTTTGTAATTAAATAATCTTGATTAATCGCATTTGCTCGCACAAGAAAATTTTCCCCTAAGCTCAAATGTTGTGGGTTTTTTGGGTTTTTTGAATTTAAAAGGGTTTTAGTGGGTGACAGAATCAAATTATGGACATGGAGATGAATGCTGTAAATGCAAACTCTTAATTTCTGAGAGAAAAAAGTATTTAAACTGAATTTCAATTCAAAACAGAGAAACAAGAACTTAAACAGACTTAAAAATAAAGCCTTATTTTAAGTACTTTAAATACATTTTCAAAATCGTATACAAACTTCAACATAAAGTGCAGTTTTTCTTCTTAATAAAAAAATAAGGCAGAAACATTAAAGGTTATTTAACCAGCTTCACCTTTAGACTCTGAGTAACCGTAGCCAAAATTATTTTGTACATTAGGCTAAAACAGTGTGATCATTGAACATTTTCGTGCAAAAATCAACAAACCTATTGGAGTCACAATACCTCTATGCTTAGTTGCTGTCTGTCTCTTTCAGCCAGTTACTTAGACAAACTACCCTGTTCACATTTTCAGAGCTCAAGTCAGCTCTTTTTTGTTACTATGTGACCTGCAAGTGGGGAACACTCTCACATGGGACTCTCACGTGGCAAGGACATACAGCTGTATGTGTAGGTCCCTGCTCGACTCGACCACCAGTGCAGCGGTCAGTCTTTTTCACTGATGGTGTATTCTGCTCTGTACAAACTCAGGGCCCTGGTACTCAGGGCTTCCTCATCTGAATCAGAGTCCGAAGACAATGAAGAGAGGAGGAGGCTCTTTGTCTTTGCTGGCTACTTTGTAGTGGCATCTTTACATTTTAAGACACTTTAAATCTTTAAAGGGTGGGTCAAGCACAGTAGCTATCTTGAGCCACTGATGGTTGAGTGTTGCTACACATTGGGGTATGTCCTTTGTGAAGGATCTTAAATTTCACCATGTAGTTTGATTCATCATCAGAGACCTCCATGGTGTGAGGCAGATGGCAGAAAGCAGGTAAAACCACTGGACATGAGACATGTCTCACCTCTAAGAAGTTCAGTCACAAACCTGTAGTAGACAGTTCAAGAAAGTAAATATTAATCTACACACTAATTGTCAACTATAGAGCTTTTTGAAGAAACAACAACAATAAATTGAAAATAGTTTTATTTACTTGCATGGCTTGAGGACAGTCAGCTTTTGGAGTTTTACTGGCTCAGATGGAGTTTGTCTGATTTGATTGTTTGTCTAAAGCAGCAAAAACAGCCTCTTGATTCTTTAGTAGACAAGAAACCATATCCCGCTTTGAATTCCACTGTGTGGAAACACCCTGTATGAGTAGCTCTTTTTGTTGCCCCAGTCGTGTTTGCTCCTGGTGTAGTTCCATCGTATTAGCAGGACTGTGTGTAATGCATCTAATTTTGCTTGCTTTTTCAGTGTCATAAAGCTATTGAATTTACATGAATAGTCTTTCAGGTGGAAAGTTGGATCAACTGATGCTAAATGTTGTCCAATGTTGACTTACTAATGTCGGTCCTGAAGCCAGTCATTTCATCAAGTTTGGGCTGCTGGCACCAGACTTTTATCAAGGCTTTACTTAGTAGTCTTTTGGAAATGAAGTTTGCCTGCGATCAGTCCTAGCAGCATGCTTTCTTCTGAGTCTTCCATTTTTGTAGCTGTTTGCATCAGTGTAATCGTATACCAGGAAAGCATGACATGGACAAAACTTGCGATTTTCTTGGAACGCAAAGTGCGATTAAATGCTTTAATTTTTTTAACGCGTTTCTTTTTTTCAAATTAATTAATTGCAATTAAAGCATTAAATTCACCCCTAAGAAATATAAAAAGTAATAAGTAGAAGAGAAAAATCTAAAATGTGTCCGAGAAATACATAGGTATATACTGATTTAAAAAACTATATTACTGCAGAGTGGAGGATTACAGCTAAGGGCTTTCGTGAGGATGTAATAAATAGATTTTACTCTTTAGAACTTTTTCCACCTGGATAACTGAACTTGCAATTGCAAATTACATGATATTTTCTCAAATATGTGTGTGTTTTCTATCATTTTTGTCTATGCAGACCTCCCACTACAACATGACTGTAAGGAGGAAGAAGTACTCATAGACCAGCAGGTCTGTAACCAGGAGAGGAGCTCCAGTCTGGACCAGGACTCAGAGCCCCCACAGATTAAAGATGAAAAGGAGGAGCTATGCATCAGTCAGGAGGGAGAGCAGCTTGCAGTGAAGCAGGAGGTTGATACTTTTACGGTCACTCCAGGAGCAAACACTGACCTGCTCCTTTCTTGCAAGTCTTCTGAAACTGAAAGCCAAAAACAGGAAGAAAGCAAGCATGTGCTCTCAGGATTGATTATACATTTTGAGCTGAAGAACACATCACAACAGACAAATAGAAGTCAGAGTAACACAGTAGACACCTCTCTCGAATCAGAGAGTCAGAGTAAAACTGATACAAACAAAAAACCTATAAAATGTGACACTTGTGGAAAAACATTTCGGTTTGACTGCCACTTAGCAAAACACGCTCGAGTTCACACGGGTGAGAAACCTTATACTTGTAGCAGTTGTGGAAAAAGGTTCACTCAGATGGTAAACTTGAAAATTCACATGAGACTCCATACAGGTGAGAAGCCATATACTTGTAACACCTGTGGGAAAAAGTTTACTTTCTTATCACCTTTCAAAATTCATGTTAAACATCATGCAGGTGACAGGCCATTTCCTTGTAGCATCTGTGGAAAAAGATTTGTTATAAAGGCGGGACTGGAAAGTCACATGAAAAGTCACACAGGTGAGAAGGCGTATCCATGTAGCACCTGTGGGAAAAGATTCTCACTGAAGTCAGGATTGGACAGTCACATGACAATCCACACAGGTGAGAAGCCTTTTTCCTGTAGCACCTGTGGGAGAAGATTCAGAAAAAAATCAATATTGGAAGGCCATTTAAGAACGCACACCGGTGAGAAACCTTTCCCCTGTACCTACTGTGGGAATGTATTCAGTCGGAGGGTAAACTTGAAAACACACATGAGAAAACATACAGGTGAGAAGCCGTATTCTTGTAGTGAGTGTGGGAAAAGATTTAGTAGCTTTTCAGGATTCAAAAATCATATGAGAATCCACTCAGGTGAAAAACCATATTCTTGCAGCACCTGTGGCAAAAGATTCACTCAGCGATCAGGACTGGAAACACACATGAGAATTCACACGGGTGAGAGGCCACATACTTGTGGAACTTGTGGCAAAAACTTCAGTGATTCATCGGCAATCAGAAAACATGTGAGAGT